TCATCATCTTCTTCTTCTCCTTCTCTTCTATTTGATCTGACATCATCCGTTTGATTGGGATTCCGCACCATCAAACGGATCTGATTGATACACAAGCAGATTAGGGACTTACAGGCAGAGGCACCACTTGTCATAGGGAATTAGTGGTTGCTTTAGGATTAGTCGTATAATGGCCTGGTATTTCCGTATGGGGATGACCTATAAAGCATTATCTTGTACGTCATTAGAAATAGTAATCTCTTTGGGACCCTCCTTGTTGATACTAAAGAACCTTCCGTTGAAGTGACCTTTCACCATAGGGATGACCTATAAAGCATTATCTTGTACCTCCTTTGAAATTTAATCTATTTGGGTGCCTTCTTGTTGATGCTAAAGCACCTTCCACTAAAGCGACCTCTCCTCATCTATGTAAACAAACTTCTCAAACTCCTAAAATCCTATACATTGTTGTATGGTTAGCAGTGGTTCTCAATTAGATTTACAAAAGAGGATTGTTCTCAAGGCATATACTATTAGGCAATCGTAATCAACGACTAAAATCATAGACAACCAGCAATCAAATCAGGAACACAAAATCAACAATATGTATCGAATGATGCATTAGTTCTTCTAGTGGCAACTATGAGTGGAATCACATAACTACGATAAAACAAAATTAATGATCAAAATCAAAGGATTTTTATTGCTTTTGGTGGCAAGTGGAATAAGCGAGCAACAAGGTAAGTTCTTCTAATGATGAAAATTGGAGGATGCTTCTCAGAAATCGGGGCAAAACCATTTACTAAAATGAAAGGACTATATACTTGTAGGCGTTATCATAAATGTAAATGAACCCTCTCACCTAAGTATGGCTTTGCTGCGGTTGGTCAATGGGGTTTAGGTAAACAATAACGGGAAAGGGGAGGTCGATGTTATAAAGAGAAAGGGAGGAGAAAATGCACCAACAGCTGGAAGGGACAAATATTCAGATTCCATAATTAATTTTTTATGAAAGTTTGTTTTTTAGATATTCAAGATATTTCACCTCCTCCAAGCAAGAATTCCCAACCATTTTTAGAAGAGTGATCCTCAATGTTAGTAATCCAACTAGCATTATTATACCCTTCTATGACGCAAGGAAACCCTACATAAGTCAAACCATAGTCCATGGTTTTCTTAAGATACTTAAGCACCCGTCTTATAGCTTGCCAATGATAAGTACTAGGATTGTTACTAAACTTACTAAGCTTTCTTCAACAAATGTATTATCTGGCCTTGTACTTTTCATGGCATACATTAAACATTTAATAACCTTTGAATATTCAAGTTGTGAAACTGTTTGGCTATTATTAGGCATAAGTTTCATACCTGGATCCATAAGAGTACTTACATGCAAACAACAGTTGAATTTCTTAAGTACTTTCTAGATATAATGAGATCATGAGATAAAAAATCCTTGGTGTTCATGCTTGATTCTTATTCCAAGAGATACTTTTGGAATACATTAAACATCTAATAACATTTGAATTAATTTCTTAATTAGTTGCTTCTTTCTTAAAAGAAAAATCTTGAGATTTTATTGTATCATCCAATGTTTTAGGATCTTCTTCAATACTGAAACAATGATGATACTAATATGTAATTTCATCTCTAGAACTCGCAACCAAATAAAGTAGAAAATGAACGATTTTAGCCTTAATTTCTTTCTAGTTTGATTTCTGAAGCTCAAGTGATTTATTAGAGTTAGATACAACTTCATCTTCCTTATTGGCTCCACTAGAACTGGGAACCTTATCCTTTGATATAGGTATGGATGAAAAACGAGTTTCATGAAATATTCATCTCTTGATTCTATGATAGAGTTAACTAAATCATAATCATTAGGTTCTAGTCAGTCTCATAACCACCTGAAATCCCCAAACTTTAAGATAACCTAAATTTGGTTACATTTTGTACCAAACTTCATAGAGAGTTATTTTTTTCTTCTTTTTCAGAACTCTCTCTCTCTCTCTCTCTCTTATATATATATATATATATATATATATATATATATATATATATATATA